AATTCGATCCGTCCATCGTATCGCCTTACCGTCGATTCGATAAATCGGGTGACCAGCTCGGACCGCGACATCAACGAGAAACCGAGCACACTGGTCTCATGTATCATCTACTTGCCAGATCGGCGCTTTCGCCGACAGTCAATTACATTAACGATGAAAACACTAGGTGACAGGCGTAGGAAGAAGAGCCGGAAACTTATAACTTCTCCCTTCGTAACTTGCTATTTCTGCGCCTTTTCGTGCCAGTTACCGCAACAATATACTCGTGGTCATGTCGTTTCTAGTTTCTTCGCTATCTGGCTCAACTAACTTCTGTTAATAACAGCGAGACATTAATTTCGACCGATTGGACCCGACGGAGTTGTGCTACAAAGGCGAAAACACGGGGAGCAAAGACGCGTTTCGAAGAGGATGAAAAAGTCTCTCTCTTTCTCTCTCTCTTTCTCTCTATTACTTGGACGAACCCCTTGACAGCATTCGAATTCTCATTCCGCGACGGCAGGAGGACTATTTTAACCCTTCTTCTTTACGCCGTATAATCCTTCCCTCTGGTAGATCCTCTCTTGGCGGTCGGTATAATCGCGCCACACCGGTGTTCCCGCGGGAGTCGTTGCTCTCGACACGATTCCTCCAAAGGATGAAACGACGAAAAGTTTAATGAGCCCGCCCACCGCGTGTCCTCGGTCGGTAAAATTGCCTTTTCGTTCCCTTAAAGACCTCGGATCCGAGACAAAGCAGCGTCTCTATAATTGACTCTATAATTGATCTCTATATAACAGAGACGTAAAACAAGAAGACCAATTTGGCGACAACAAACGATTCGAGCGATTACTTTATTAATGGGTAAATTTTGTGTACTGTTGTTCGCGAGCGAACAGGAAGATGAATTCAGTGAACAATTGGACGAATCGCGTGTCCTCTGTCCCATCATTCCGAAACATAAACGCGGCTGAGCACTAATGGACCACCTTAAATATGTAGGACCAGCCTGCCCACCGGGTAGCGGGTAACAATAAACTAACACTTAAGACGTACTCCAAGACACAATGCGAAGTCACACTCCTCGCGCTAACGATCTCACCTACCGAGGTTCAAGTTTTGCGCCGTAGTGTCTCTGGAGACTGTTTTAACTTGGGCGGGTTATAAGAAGCTCGGAGCAAAGAATGAAATAACGGTTAATATTTCACCGTACCTCAAATATAATATTGACAAACAGGTGCGTTATAGACCGATAACGTATGAAGTGCAAAAACAGTTTCAATCTACAGACAAATTTTGTATAAATTTATATTTTTTTGAAAAATAGGGTAAAAACGACTAGACTGATTAAAGTTATTACCTCCAATTACAGAAATAAACACTTCAATGAAATTGATAGCTGGCATAAACATTTTTCAGTATTTTCTTTTTACTCTAACATGATTCGAAAATTTAACTGTATAATAAAGCTCAAAGAGGCGTATTTTCCCCAACATGTAAACACTTGTCGAACCTCCGTTCACAAACACGCATGTTTCCCATAAAGATAAACAAATCCTCCGAAAGGTAACTAATCGATGAAATTATTTTTTTTTCCCATCCCCCCCTTGAACCCACATTGTACGATAACGAATCGAAACGCGGCTCCGCGTCGTAGTTTTTCGTTTAACCGAACGATACGAGGCCGCGTTACTCGCCACGTCATAAAAGCTAACAATGATGGAAATATTAGTTTTTAAAGCCGCGCAGGGTGTCGTTAACGGTCTGAACCTTTCCCCGGTCGGCGGGCTAAAAGTTGCTGCCCCCTCGTTGCTCGTCGGGTTTTCTTACGCCCCGCGTTTATAGGCCTTCGTGAGCTATAATTCCTCCTTCCTCCGTCTACTACTTGATACGTAAAGAAAGAAACGTGTTCCCATTCGTCTACTTCGCGCGAAGTTATACGACCTTTCGCTACAACGTGTGCCGAAACAACCCTTTATGAAGAAATATCTAATTTCTTAAGGGCAATTTATTTACTACGACCATCTCAGCACGTATATTACCGGTAAGTGAAGATATTTGATGATAATCATAAGACTTCATATTCTTGATAACGTTATTTATGAACAGGGATGTTAAGATCGATAGACCTACAATCACAAAGAATTTAATATCATTTATAACGAATAAATAATTGAATTTAAGCATAGAACTCAATTTGACATCTACGTGATTATTAAAATGATTAATGAGACTTTTAAGGTGAACAGGATATCCTAGTAGTTTCTTTTTTGTGAGCTCAATATTTGACAGAAAGTGTGACCAATGTCAGGATAACGAAATATTTCGAGAATTTTTTATTCGAATGTCATTATATTTTATTTGTCGTTGCCTGTCGATCGCAACAGCCGACGACGACAGTCATTATAAATTTAACAGCTTTTACCAAAAGCCATGTTACCTCGCAACCGTTTCGCACGCAAGCGGCACTTTGCGTGCCGCATTCGAGACGACTTGCCCCCTTGTTTGAACTGGTGTTGCGCTCAAAGTCCGAATGCATAATTAATCGGATTATCAAAGTCGAATTAAAGTTTCATTTGACCCAGATCTAATGTTTCGCCTACCGGTCGTGTAATGTGTCTCGGCATTAATTCATTCAATGGTACTTAAAGTTTCATTTTGAGGGGCAGCAATGAAACCTGAGTTAGTGATAAAGTGAGGTTCAAGCTGTTTCAGTTATCGCGATTAAGAAATACCTGGTCAAGGTTGCGAGGAATTTAAAAGAATAAAAAAAATAATAGACCTAAGACAGGTATGTACGTGCTTGTCTTCACTGTAGCTAGTAATGTATTTAGTTCAAAATTTTGGTAACATGTATTTTACGCAGGCTGAAGTTAAATTGTTTAATAAGAAAAATACGAATGAATATTTGAAATTTCGCGTCCTCTTTGAAATACATGAGAAATGTAAACAGAAAATTGTAAGCAACCGTAAAACATATTTCCTACAGTTCATAAAATGATCTTTGATTACTTGTAAGAAAATTAATGAAATACACAATGTAAAATTCATGATTCCAAAATGTTATTAAAGAAATCATCCCTGCTTTGAAATTCCTTCGAGGAACGTTCTGGAATATGCAATATAACAAATGCCTCGACTCACAATAAGCGATAACAACGATTCGCTTCATAATTCTTTGAATGAATCGTGCTATATTACCCCGAAACACACCACTTTATGACTTTTAGTCGATTTACATTCCAAATACAGTTCCGGTGATCAACGATTGATCGATCAACAGAATTCTCATTGGCTGTATAGAACAGAGGCATGTAAACTCTGTTTGATACCGGCGAACTCAATCATTCTCTCTGTTCTACGACACGGCAAGGACCAATACGGTCTGTGTAAATACAGGGAACCGAGTGCACTTTGCTCAATATTTAATGCGAACGTCAGATCCTTCTGGCGCATTTTCGATTAGCAGCAAGGGAATTGAATTACGCGGTTCTTCCGTTAAGCGATTTCGTACTTTTAAATAATCGAGAAGTTACGGAGAAAATACTCGATGCGCGAGTCTCTCTGGAACTAGTTGCTCCGTATAAAATATTGATGCAGTAGAATCTCAAAACATTGTTTAACGAATCATAGAAAACATCAATTGAACGTTCGAATATTCAAATAGTGTTATATGATAAATAAGGCAAAGAAACTTTGTCACATTCGATTGCATCATTGTTATCCGAACTTGTTCGTTACGAACAAAAGTGTGTAAAGAAACTGAGAAGTATGTAGTTTCTGCGTATAACTGTTGCAAGATTTTGTCCATTATAATTTATTTACAAAAACAAATAGATTTGGTTGGTCTGGCAAAAATCAACAGAACGGTTGATGATACATATCCTACCGAGACAAAACTTAGTCTAGAAATGATTAATAGTACGTTTGAACTTACTTGTCGTAGCCATCTTGAAGAACTGTCTTTTAAAAGTTATATTATTACCGAATCCGTTAAATGAAGATCCTTGAAACTTGCCTCCCACTAACAGCACGTATTACACTTCAACTTGTTATGCAATAAATGAGTATATATACACTATGAACAGTAACTGAACAAATAAAATCGAATAGTTTTTCGAATTTCACAAGTGCCACACTTTATCACGCGACACAAGTACCAAAACTATGGTTTAAATTACGATACACTCATTTAAATTAGAAATTTCACTAGCGCTGGTGGCGCTATCTGTAAAGCCTTGGCGGAATTAAGAGAGCGTTACTAGTGCACGGTACACCAAGCGGGCCTGTTATTGGTAAAAAAAATTAGCAAATAACAGACAGTTATTCTTTTAGTATGTATTCTCATACGTCAGATTTGAGTAAACCTACATCAGTTCGAATTGCCGATTATCGTGAACTTGACGCGTCAATGTTGTTTGTGCGTTTGTTGTGTAGTTTATTTATCATTATCGACGTGAGAAGTGTTTTTAATGTTTACACAGAATTTATCACTTAACATTGTTATATTAGTGAAGTGTAAAAAACACATAAGTTCAGACGATTATTGTCCTGGATGACGGAAATCATATTTAGTCAGCGAATTTCTGTTTACACTACCGAAATCGGAGGTATCTTATCAACGCAAGGTAAGTCAATAAACGATAACTGCTCTTATAGTTCTGTGTAACTGCACGGTATAAATTCAAGCATAAATTTTCCACAACCGTCAATGTAGCAATAAAAACACAGTTACTAAACATTTAAACTGATACGAGTTGCACTTGTTTCGCGCCACTTCCCAATAAACAAGTTCAGCCATTTTTGAATGCAAACACTCTATACAAGTACAATATTCAGGTTACATAACTGTATTTTCTTATACTTAATGAGTTTCATGTTTATAAAAATCAGGAAATCAAAATAACGTTTTATGGATTCTTTATTCCATTTCTGAAGAAAATGGTGATGATTATACAAGAAATCATAATTCGATGAAATATAACATGCATAAATGCAATGGGATGTGACAAATGAGAAAATGATTTTTCATATTTTTATTGATGCATTCGTATGCTTCTATAATATAGCTCATGTTTCAATGCAATTCCATGTTATTACAGTCATAGTACATTTTGTTAAACTTCGTTAGTCATCATACCGATGATAGAGAGAGAGAGAGAGAGAGCTTAAAGTAGATAATGACATCTAAAATCTCGACTGCTGATTTATGGTCGCGACATCCATCCCACTGTAAACCATCAATTTAGTAGCGTCCTGTTCTCAATTTAGCATTTGCAGGGTTTGCAATTACACTGCCCTCCAGACTTGCAACAGCATTTGTCTGTAAAAGAAATAGAACGCATATAGTTAAGAAAAAATGTCGAATAACAACTTCGATTTATCTATAATAGGAAGTACTGCCTGAAAGTACATAATATAGATATAGAGTCCGAATAATTCTCGTGCCGCTCGTAAAAAGGTGATTTATGTGTCCAGTTCAGTTAGTACAACTATATTTTATGCTACTATAGACTGTACAATGTACAACAAATAAAACGATTAACGCTTTTTAAAAACAGTAAAAGCTTTAAGTTTGAAACACCAAGATCGTAACTCAACCGTTTAATGAACCGACATTAACACCGTCACGGTGAAACGGTCATTGGTTCAGTACACAAAAACACATACAGTCAAGGCAAAATACCGTGACTACATTCCATCGAAGTAACCTGCAAGTTCTGTTCAGAAGCAAATTAAACCGTAATATCTGAGAGACGGCACGGTAATGTCATGACGAATACTTATACATTATGACGTAATCGTAGTTTTCTACTTTAAAATACACTCAATGATAAAAACACTGCAGACTTTATGCATTTATAATAGATACTACAAAATAAAACAAAATAGACGAAAAAGATTAATAAAGTTGAAGACTAATTTTATTTTCTTCTTTGCCGAATAAAGCCAGTCATTAACATAACAAGTTAATTCAGAAAACGTGAAACGGTATGAACATTATTCACAGTCTAATCGATTAAATATTACTTTTATAAAAAATTTAATTTGAAATTATATCGAATGTAAATAAATACCTCCGCATCCAGAGTCACAGCACTTGCAGGAATCACCGCATTTGCAGTCCTGGCAGCAGTTGTCTATAATAAATTGGAACATTATAAATTAAAAAATGTTTCGGAATGTCATATATTACACGATTTATCGAGAAAACGTAAATTATTCAGTAAAAATAGGTGGAAATTTGATAAAACTCATCAATTGAGCGCACGGAGCAATTGTGCTTGATGAATAAATTATTTCATTCCTTCCTATGCAGCCCAATAGCCATGCGGCCCGTATATTATAGACTTTACAAAGAAATTCCGAGTCAAACAAGTACGTGCTTTTATTAAATTTCTCATCTATTCAGACATACAGAATCTCATAAAAAATACTCACTAAAATGTTCTTTTGGCGACAATTTGTAAAAAAAACTTAAACAAAAGCAATGTTTTTTATTCAGAAATTTAATGTCACAACTCGTACTATTATATTAGACAATTAAACAATGAGAAATAATTTAAAAATAATAAAAGGTTCCAAAAGAAATTGTTCAATGTATATTATATAATAACAAAGAAAAAGTAAAAATAAGTTACTGTAAATGTTCGAATATAAGAAAGTATACTATAAAAAGAAAGCTTAACAGGATTTTGAATGTAATTTAATATGTCAGTATAAACTTCTAGTACTCGGAGACTCTGTAGTACTTCATAATTATCTATCACGTATGAAAATAATGTTTCTAGAAAATGGTATCAACACTTACCACTGCAGTTGTCGCATTTTGGTCCCGGCATTTTGAATGGTAATTGATCTTCGCTGTGAACGTTCGAGTTTCGTGAGAGCACAATGATCACTTGTCAGTTCCGCTGTGATGCTTTGTATTTATCGATCATCCCCTACCATGCCCTCTCTTATGCCGAAGTGCTTGAACGGCGTGTGCAACCGGCATAGTGTGTGCCATGCGCAAACCAGGACCGTATTAATTCAGACCTGAGTTTATACTATTTGTTCTATATTTCTTTATATTCAATCTATAGTTTCAAAACTGGAAAACATCCAGAAGAAGCTAATTTAAATATGATATAAACGAACAATTAGAGATACGCAATTTTCTTAAGAAATTTTATATCTTTCCATTATTCTTACTAAATATTATTATTCCAATTTGTACATTTTAAAAACATGTTAAAATTATAGTTTGATCTAAATCAATAAAATGGAGTTCTAAATTTCCAGATTATTCCATGTTTCACATGTCTATAGTTGAAATACGAATAATTAATGTTCTTTGTGGTCAGTTCTATAAATGATCCACAATTATGTCGGGGCTTGACAATGACGTGTACGCTCCTGCAAACGCGCAGCACGAACCCAATAGAAAACGTCTGCAAGTTACACAACGGTGAAAGATAAGGATTGGATCTTTTAAGAGTTCCGTGCAAATTCATTCTAGAAATTTTACACAAAGAAATGATAAGAGTCTCATGACAGAATTACTATGGTACAGAAGTATAGTTCTTCATACCTTTTCTTGAAACTCATTAGAAAGCACAGTTAAGGAAAGTACTTTTATGTTTCTATCGTTTTCTACGCTGCGCGTATTAGAAAGTAGAAGTCTTGAACTTCACTACGAGTTCCATTGAAACAACGCAAAAATCAGTGAAACGTAAATATAATAAAATACAAACTTTATTAAAGAGTCTTTCTCTTTTAAACTTTTTCAATTCACCCGTAACAAAAATATAAAACATCGATTTCGTTGCAAATATCAAATATTAATCAAATGCGTTTCTGTCTGTGAATAAAATTCGTTTTACTAGCTGCCTGTTCTACATGTATAGATACATCTTCTGGACCATACATAATGTCCAATACTTCATCATTTGGTGTTAGCCCATCATCCTCTTCTTGTTTTTGAACCAATTTCATCCTACCTGTAAGAAAAATTTGAAATGCATATACTTAAATTGCAAATGTCAGCATATATACTTTATACATATACAGATTTTACTGTATACACTAGTACCTTCATGTCGAATAACTACTTTACTGTGTGCTGATTCCAGTAATTTTTTTACACGAGTTCCCTGTTTGGGTGACTTTGTTTCCTTTATCTGTTAAAGATGCAATTTATAAATATAATACTAACAACATAAAAAATTGTTATATTAAAGTAAATACCGTTTTAACTCGTGAAGGGAGTCTATAAGACACCTTAGGAAGTACAAAATGACTTTTAGGGGTACTATTATCGACTGGTGTTAGAATTACCTACAATGAATGTAGAAGAATGTTAAATATACACAAGGAAATATTATTGGAATAGTGTTTTAAAAAAAAAAGGTATTTCTATGTACTTCTGAGTTGCGTATTTGATTTGTTCCTGATCTTCGAGATGAATTAATATTGAGAGGAACCTTTTTCTGAGATTTAGTTGGACCACTTCGTGGTGTAGATTGTTTTGAAATTCTACTTGGTGATCGTTCAACATTTTTCTTTACAGGTGTAAGTAACAGGCCATCTGTTTTAGCACGTACATTTTTTATAAGTTGCATATCTGTACCTCTTATGTACATACCAACTGGTGAAACTACGGTGTTATAATTCAATCTGTACAACCCTTTTGCATGTGGACTTTTCAAAATATGTTCTTTTACCGTATTTTGTGGTAGACTACCCATAGAAGGAAAATATTCTTTCTTTCTTTTATAGTTTACTTTTGAAGAACTTCTCCCTGGTGTGACAAAAAGTTTTGGCTTAAAATGCTCTGTTTTTTCTTGATTTTTGTTATCCGTTTTCCTTGACAATGGTGATTTACATATATCAAAAGCTTTCACATTTCGATTCAATGGGTTTTTCATTAAATTAGGCGACTTTATATTTAAAAGTTCTGCTTTTGAACCTCTTACTTCATTATCTTTGATATGAGGATTTTTATTATTTTTCTGGGGAGTTTTGGGTGTACAAGAGTCTGAGCTCTGAATTAAATTAAATAGAGGTTTTTGTGTTTCTAGATATGCCAGGTAATCTTTACAAGACATCAAGGTTTTTATAAATTTAGCCTCAGTGCTAACCAATGTATTTGATTTATTCAAAATAGAGAGCATGGGAGCTATCTCTAAAGAGTTCTCCTCTTCTGTAACTACAGCATCTGCGTTTATTTCTGTAATAAGCCTTACTGTATCAAGACACCGCTTTCTTTTTTCAGCTATGTCTTGCAGAAGTGTTTTTTCTAACTCATCTGTATCAAACATTATATAATCCTTTGTATCTTCATCAGTACTTACCGTATTAAAGTCAAACTGTCTATTGAATTGCATAGATTTCTTCCTAGAATATGATACATTGCCAAATTTAGGATCTGTTGATTTGTGATCTGATTCAAATTTATTTACACACTTCTCCAATAAATTGGGTAAACTTGCAACATACTTTTCTTTATGAAAAGTATCAGAACCACTCAATGCAGCCATTTGTTGATCACAAATATTTTGTAGTTCAGACATACTTAACAATGAAGGTACTGAAAAGCTTCTTTGTAAAGGTGAAGAATATTGTTTCTCTTCAGGAAATAATATCTTACACTGAGCCTCTAATCGTTCGAAAGATTCAACACTAGATATATTTGAAGACAGATTCATTAAACTATCACCACTTCCATTATAAGTCTTTTTTGAGATTTTTTGGAAGAATCTTTTCTTAATTATGTCTGTGGCAGACAGTGGTGTCGCAGGTAACGATGCTGTAGTTGGAGGTGTAGTTAATAATTTGTCTCTTTTGTAATCATTGGTATGGACAATTTGATTAGAAAGAGAATTTGTAAGAATCTGTTCTGAACTTGGAGGTGTAGATAAAAGAGATGAAGGCCACTCAGGCCAGGATTCATCCTCTATGAATTTACACATTTTTCGAAATTCTGTTGTTAATCTGCTTAAATTTATTGCAGATGTGTTACATGTATTGTCATCATTATTTATAACTGACTCTTCAATAATAGTCACTAACTTCTCAGTGAAATTTTTGGGCGAATGTGCAAACTTCTCAGACAGACGTTTTAAAATTGGTTGTGTTTGTGAATCTTCTTTTATTCGATTAAGCCGATTATCTAAAGAACAGAGTATTGTTTCAAATTTGTTTATTTCAGTAGTATTTTGTTCATGTTCACAGCTATCAGATATAAGTAAGTCTTCATTTGTACAATTTGGTAGAATTGGCCATGACTTAAGTACAATTTGCTCTGATATAGGAACTGTGTTAGATTTATTGCAATGGATATTATAATTTGTATCTCTGTTCTCTTTTCCAGATGAAGTTGATGCTAATACATTTATATCTTTCGATATTATATTTCTGTTTATTGCACATTGAGGATCATTATTTTCTTTATTATCATCTTTCAAATGTGTAAATGCAACATTATGTACAGATTCACCTTTTAAATTCTCACTTTGAAATAGATTAATCCGTTTATTTAAATCTGGAGCAGTTTCAACAGATGTAACAAATGAAATAGAGGTATCCAGCATTAGAGAATCTTTTGTGGAACTGCCAGCTAAGATAGTGGAATTTTTATTAGTGCGTGTAGGTCCATTGGAAGGAAAGTTACATGATTTTAGTCGATCCAAACTGTCTTGGGATATAGAATCTAAAGTGTCAGAGCTAGTAGTATATCCTGAAAAAGAAATGATTGAACAATCAGAGCGGTATTCGTTATGATTTGGTATTCAAGTCTTTGTGTTATGTCTACTTACGGAAACTATGTAGAGAATTTGTAAAGTCCTCAGCATGTCTTCGATGTCGACTCATATTTATTTCTTGTTCAAATCTTAACACAATCGACGAGAGACATGTACACAATCTCACTTTCTCTCTTTTAAAGTGCTGCTATAGCGTCCGTCGAGTATTCGTTAAACTACCATTGATCCATTTTGAATGTTCAGTTCAGCCAACGTATGAAACATTGATACATTAATGTTCTTAGTGAATTGTATTGTTACTAGACTGATGTTTGAATTATGTATAAAACTGAATAAACAATATTTTATTATGTTATTTAAGCATACATTTTGAAGTATAACTGTATTACCATTCAACTTAACCACAGTTAATTTATGTTCGATCGAATAATACAATTTATTTATTGGTAATAAATGGAACGGATATGTATAACTTGAAGTTAGTTGTGTGTTCATTGTTTTGACTGGTTTTGACCAGTTTTGACAAGTAGAATTGTTTACTTTGAAGTAATATTAAAAATACGCCACCGGTAATGATTTGTTTTTGCGTCTTAGTTAATAAGTTGCCTCAACGTACCTGTGTAAGAAAAAATCAGTGTAAAAGACTTAACTTTTAGTCATTACATAGCTGTCGGTTAGACTACATCCTATTTGTATTTTGCACATGAAACGTGACATTTATACGCGTGACTTTTAATTTTTTGTTTGTCATTAAAATTTTTATATATTTTTTATTATGCTATATCTTTTCCGTTGATCCTACGGTACTTGGAAAAACAATTGAACCTAGTAGAAAAATACTAACTTTCATGAGTTCTAATCAACAATTGGAAAACAATGCTTGTATACCTAACAAACATGATGCAAAGTACATAGAATTGGTACATAATACATTACAGGAAACAAAGGAAACTTTTGAAAAGGAACAGAAACGTATGTAGTATAATATCTTATAATATTGTGACAATCTTTTATGTGACAGTCAATAATTTTAGTCTCTGATAAAGTACTATTGAACTTGTACAATATTTTTGGTGCTGTATTTGAAAGATCATTAGAGTTGTATGAACAAGGACGTATAACTCATATTTATCCATCTGAAACAACTGCAGTTATACCTCATAGTGATAGGAATAATGCAAGATATTTAGTACAAGTCAAAGGGTTTTCAGGATCAATATATACATTTTTCCCTGATGTAAATTATTGCACTTGTGCATCATTTAGGTATTACAATTTAAAATTCCTTTAGAAGTTTATTTAAATATTAATCATACAGACTGTTGTTAAATTTTTATCTTACAGGTGTCAAGTGTTAAATGATAAAAGTATATTCACCTGCAAACATGTTTTAGCAGCTTGGTTGGCGACAGTCACTAAAGATAAATTGTCTTATCAGTATATAACAGAACGTCAATTCCAAAATTTATTATTGTATCAGGTTTCATATGAGCAACATGTATCCTGACACGACAAATTATATGTTAGTAGCAAAATTAGGGAACCTTAGAACTATAGTCCAATTATTAAAAGCAATTAACTTTAAAGAGGTATGATAGCACGAAGTATTTTTATGTAAGAATTAAACATAGTTTGTTTAATAATTTATACATTCTACATACTTAGACTGCAACTTGTTTTGGAACTGAAAATGGTTTAAAAGTAACAGTGGAGGATGCAAAATGTATGCAGGCAAGTGCTTATATCCCATCTCATGTATTTCAAGAATTTAATTTGAAGGATGATGTTATTTTTCGAATAAACTTAAATGTTTTGGTTGAATGTCTATGTATGTTTTGGAGCAACATAAATTCTCAAGGAAGTTCAGTGGCTCTGCAACTGTTTTATAAAGTATATACAGAATAATTTCTTTACAAACTTAATAGCCATAAATAAATATTAATGAATAATGATTATAATGATAGGGTACTGGGCATCCAGTAACAGTTCTTATAGAAGAAGATGGTGTTATAACAGACTGTTCCTTAAAAACTCAAGATCCTGATGAATTGTTAGATTTCCATCTTGACCCAGAAAATGTTTTGAACAAAGTAGTCCTGCAGACTGAATTATTGAAGGATATTTTATCCGAGCTCGATCCAACCAGTGATTTAATTGAGGTAAAGCAGAATTGAACTTGCATGTTAATGGTTCTGCAGTTCTACGATTTTATAATTATATTATAGTTACTTCTGTCACCTTCTGCACCATGCTTCCGAATTAGTACAGCTGGCTTAGCTGGCATCTGCCATGTTGATTTACCACATGAAGGTGATTTAGTAGATAACTTTCAATGTTCCTCAACAGCAACAGCTAGTTACAAGTTGTCACATATTAAACCAGCTATGAAAGCCTTGTTATATGCAAATAAAGTTTCCTTGAGAACTGATACATGTGGACTGTTGTGTTTCCAATATATGGTTAAAACAGATGAGGGTCAAACCTGTTACATAGAGTATTATGTAAGAGTCAACTTTTTCTTACCGTTTACTTACATAATTAGAAAACAGTGAAAGCAGTATACAAATAAATAAGAACATTGTTTCAGATTTCACCGGTGATAGATCCAAATGAATAATTGTGGTATAAATTACTGGGGATGTTATAGACTTGTAAATAATAATGGGATAAAAATTATCCAATATTTTATTACCTAAAATATTGCATTAATACTCATCATTGTAATACTAACTATATTTATGTAAAAAAAATTACTTTTCTACAAAACTGGTAGTTACTCCAATTTTTTTATTTATAAAGATTCCATTTGTGCGAAAGCAAACAATTGAATTATTTCAAATAAGCGTACAAAACATATATAAACTGTCAAATCTATCGAACCGTTATATAATTATGTTTAACGTATATACGGATATACGTATTCGAAACACTGTGTGCGTATAGTTCCACTTTGAAATAATATATACATGCATTTATACGTTTTCATGTACACCTTCTGTGTCTTTTACATTTATAAAAAAACAATGTATTATTCTTTGAATTGCAACAATAACTTTTAACGTTGTTAATTCGTCGTTGATCTGAGAAACACCACACTTCGGTAGGAGTACTCTTATTCTTGGATCTTGTATACTCTGGTGCATACAATATCGTCGACTTTCATAATCTGCAACATGAATAAAGCATTCGTTATACATTTATTTATTGATAAAAAAAAAGATCGTATAGAACGTTCGTAACAATTCCCACGTATATTATTTTTGCCAACTAGCCCTCAAGGCTTCAGAACAATTGATTATCATTAACTGCATTATTGAACTTCTTATTAAATTGTTCGAGTCACGAATACGACAGGCATGCGGTAATTGTCGGACCTTTTGACCAATGACATAGCCATTGTTATTATCATTAGCCGTTCGGCCCTGTTATCTTTCGTTGTGTCGTTCAACCCTGTGAAACTACTTCCATCGCACGAAACCGTAACTCAATTGAACTGTTAAGCTTGTAATTCCTTAATGATCTCCCACGGTGTGAGATTACGTAATTGATTATCCGGCAGATTTTATTAGATTCACGGTGTACCATCAGGGTCGAAACGACCAATGAATCATCCGGCAAGGTACAAAGGTCGCCGACAAACGACCGACACCGATGACCCAACAAATTTCGATCGTAATTTTTTCACAACCATACGCACTGCTTTCATTTCCGTTGGCGTGAATTCCCTCTCGATTGTGGTCTGCTTCTCGCCCTTTTGCACCTGCATGAGCTTGTTCCCTTCTAAAGTGCAGACGCTATTCGAATTCCTCGCCGAGCTTGAATTTTATTTCGGAGTTTTTGAACGGACTGGTCGTCTTCAAAGTGTAGACGTCATTGTTCTCCGTTAATTCAACCACGGGGCTCACGCTGCTACCCATTTTACGCATCATCAGGCCCACGCCTGAAAGAAGAGGAAGCACGGTTTAGAAATCCGGAGAATTCAAAGAACACTTCAAAAAACCGGTCGTTGTTAAGCCGTATTTACGGCTTCGAGCGTTCCACGGTGTGCAAAAACGACAAGAGCATCGTCAACTTCTTCATATTTGTCTAATGTTCGGCGTGAGTTCGCGGAAGAAGAAAAAAAAAAAAGATTCTTTTTCACATAACGATCATTAACATTACCTAACGTTTTCATGTATTCATCAAAGTTCTGGCTATCTTGCAGCTTGTAACGTTTCCCGAAAAATGCTGACATTTTCGCTGGCAGTGATTATTCGCGATGTGCAACCGATGAATGCGTGAAACAGACTGAACACCCAGTCTAGCGATAACGCGTTATATAGTCCAAATAAGAATATTGCTGAGCTTCGTTATCTATTATACGCGAAACCGAGCTCCGGTTCAGTTAACACGGGAACTGAAAAATGCAAACTTTGAAGTTTGAACTTTTACGATATCGTACACGGACCCCCTTGCCTGTTTATTGTAGATATCGTGTATTTAAAACAAAAATAATCGTGCACAGTGAAATTTTTTAAATATCAAAACACGAATATAGTATCTGTAGGTTGAATTTATTTTTCAAATATTTCATGCGTCGCAGATGAAACTATTTCAACGGGAATCATATAGATTAATTTATTACAGGTGTATTATGTAAGGTCAATCAATATGCTCAGTCGCAATTCCTAAAGCGGATTGCGAAAACACGATCTCAAATAACATTATGTATTACTGTCATTTGTGTTGTATATTGTGCTTGTTCGTTCCGCGTTTAATTTGATTTTATTCAAGGAAGGAATAATTCATGTTCTTTCGTAGCATCAGAGAACACTTTAAACGCGTGAGCAACGCCGATCTGCGTGAACTTGTACTTTTATTTAATTTCCGGCAATCATACGGAAACAACCGGTTGCACCGCGTGGATATAAGAATAGTACCGACTCACGTCTTCATGAGGTTGTTGTCACTTGTAATTTGATGAGGGTACTTACAAGATGTGCTATTTTCTAGACGAGAGAAATAAATTACATCTTTCTCGTCTGTCACTTATGATAGTGATAATTGTAGATTATGTAAACTTGAATAAGAAACAGTATTGCAGTATGATGCATTTCCCGCAATGTTCGATATTCTCATCGTGTTTGTTTTTCAGGTGCTTACAGACGATATTTTTTTTACCGTCACGAATCTGGAAAACTGAAATTTCAGAAGTCATAGAGATTAAGATTCTTCTAATGATTACGAAAAAAAACGCGCATAGTTCTGTCGGTCGTTTTGTCACCAATGCCGAATAAATAGTTGGCATGGTTGGGAAACACGTTAATAAAAAGTCCATAGTACCTTTTTAGTTTGTTGCAAATTGTTCTCAGTTGTAAAGCGTGGGAACTATTATGCTGATACAGATGCTAATAGTGTTACTTTTTCTGAATGTGCTTTAGCCGGCGTTAAACTGATTCCTCTTGCTTACTCATTAATGATAACGCAAGATACGAGTGACTTTGCACTGTGCGCGACTGTGCAAAGTTCTGTGTATGTGGTATTTAAAATCTGACTAATTACCTACAAATGTTTACTGAACCATCTTTGTTTCTTTTCCTGTACATCTCGTTCCCCAAGGATCTCTTATTAGGCGATACGGTCAATGTATTTTTATTAAGTCAACTCCATAAGTACCATACATTAGTGCGATTCGACTGACAATTGCGATTTATTAATCTTGCCGGTAAATTAATTCAAGTGCTAAATTGGAGTACAATCGGACTTCGTCTGTGGCACATGGCGGGAATTAAGCGTGAGGTCAGGTCGTTGCACGGCTACTGGAGCATAGTTCAATATATTAAAATTGATTATCCTATTCATCATTACAATACGTAGCTGGTCGCCGATACTACCAAACTGGAGCATTTTCTTTCGTAACCAGGTTAAATTTCTTGGTATACAAACGGCTATCATAAACGATCACGGGATAAGATTTGTTTCACCGAATTCCAGTATAGTAATCACTTTTACGTTAGGTTGATCTCATTACTATTCAATAATAATGCATGTTTCGATAACAGTTGTGCTACATTGTACAGCTTGTCCGACTTTACGCGTACAATATGTGGTGTATTTGTAAATACATCGTAATGTATAGCAATAAGAATCCTGTATTCTTATTAAGTATAACCTTCAAAGTCGGTTACCGGTTAATAATCAATTACAATCGGATGATTTGTGTTGAGCACAACTATACAACAAAATATCGTGCATGTGCTACAGAATGTTAACTAAAATAAATATTATCCTAAAATATTCCGTGTTGCTTATGAAATATTCGATTATACCGCCGGTACTCGCGATATACTAATACACCGGCGATAATAATATTCGATAACAATCGCTCATTCTAATATCGGTCCAAAGATACCAGGCGGTTGTCCCGCAAAACGAAATTGACATTGCAACGCGATGGTAATCGTGACACGGGGAGTGCCCAGCCTCGAAGGCGCGATCAGGACGATGGTTCTATCGATTCATACGTACCGAGTGCCTTCATGAATTCGTCGAAATTTTCGCTGCTAAACAGCTTGTACCGTTTTCCAAGAAACTGTTCGGCCGGCATGACGATCGATCGGAACTGTCTAGGCTCGAAACACGTGACTGAGAATATAGGTCCAAAGGACGATCGGTTTAGAGTCAGACAGAGACACGAGCACGATGGACCGATGTTCACTGTCTTCTCGCCGGCTCTAGACTGACTAGGATCCGGGTGGACGAGGAACGTTAAAGGTACATACTACGGTCTCAACACTCTGAACCAACTCTGTATAGAATGTTCTGTCCTTCTGCTCCCACCCATCCACCTGCACATTCCTTCATCTCTCTCGACAGTCTCGTGCACCCCCTTTTCGCCCTTCCCGCGTTCGACCTCTCTTTCTCATTCGAATAACTTCTGGCTCTTTTTATCCTTCGTTCAAAAATGTTCTTTCTTTTGGCCGTTTCGCTCACACGTTTTCGCCTCCCTTTCCCCCTCAACCTTCCGGACATTCGCAGCTGCACCGCCAGAGTCTGTGCCTCGTCACTGTACCTTGTCGTAATTTCTTTCCTTTTTATTACATGTTGCCACGAAATTGCTTGCACCCTTCTTTTATTTCCTTCCTCCTTCCTCGCGCAACGTGGCGCTGTTTCGCTGAATATTTTTAGTCCTGTTTTTAGTCGCCATGCGACTACGGGAATCCCGCGGTCTCTTGTGTCGCAACCCTGCGCGAGTAAATCTATCGTGATATATGATCGTTCATATTACCAAGATAAGTGCGTGCAACAATATATGTAATATCTTTATTCGTTCAAACAGTTCATTTTTCTTTTTTCGAATATTTTGTACTTTGAACAGATAAGTTTTTCTTTTTAATTATTTGATATTTTTCATCGAGATATCAAGACATGATCCGTTTACATTATTTGATAAGATTATTATAAAGCGCTAATCAGTTATATTTAGCGGTGAAACGGTGCGAAACCACGGATCATGCGCACACACCGTCCGGTTCTACTGGTGCTCACTGGCCATTGGATGTTATACGATCGTGCGCGACGCTGCGACCAATCGTAATCCGTCACGGTTAAAGTACGGACGTAATTTATTTACCAACGTTCAAACACGCCACATCGATTACCGTTTATTACATGTGGAATTATTTATATGATCTGGGGTTCTTAGACTTTCTGCCACTAGTATATAAACCAGGTTTTTTTACTGTACACGAAGAGTCATTATATTATTATGATATCTAACTCTGTATATTTATCTTAGGATACATACGTGCAATTGATACACGATTTTGGATTAAGAACATGACAGTAAGCTATTTATATACGTAATCTTCGTTTTTCTTCGTTTCTTGACCATTCCTCAAGGCCCTTCAGATAACGCGCAAAACAACCGGTGGTATAACGTTTCATTCAGCCGGCATAGAGCCGGTGTCGAATTCGCTGCGTTTGCCAAACCCCCCATCGTCTTGCGGTCGATAACGGCGCGGTGGAAACGCGACGACGTGGCCGCGTGCGTCTACCCGCGTTCATTCTCGCTGAGCACGATGTCGTTCCACCGATCACGTAGCAACGCGCCACTTTTTCGACGCATGCGAATCCCGTACATTTGGCAACGTTGAAACCACGCGAGAATTCCGCATCTACCACGCGAGAACGCAATACCGTACACACGTACATACGCCGTGACGTGTCCGACGGTTTCTCGAGTGTGTTTACGATCATCGTGGCGCGCGCGAATCACGCAGGTACATCTTCGAAGTATCCTCTCTTGTTTGCTCACATCTTTTTCCCGCAAGATCTCCTGACTCTCGGCTACAGGCATGGAAAGCAATTATTTTCTCATGAAATTTTACATTTCATATATTACCCCACTACTTTCTTCTAAATACGATTGAATTGACGAACGAATTCTATTTATAGTCGGCAACGTGTACGGTTTCTTTCGCGCGCGTATATCGGGATACTCCATACAACCGGTTCCAACCGATCACCGGTTTCTCGCAAGCGTTATTATAAATCCGGTGCGGTCGATGCGCTCCAGAGTATCACCGCATTGGAAACGCGACGACGACCGAGCCAGCCAACGAGGACGTGCGTCGCGTAGCGTCACATACACACACATCCACACACACACACACATATATATATACATATGTACATCCACACCATCACCGCGAGCGTTCAAGAAACCAGCCAACGAGGACGTGCGTCGCGTAGCGTCACATACACACACACACACACATATATATATACATATGTACATCCACACCATCACCGCGAGCGTTCAAGAAAAAGAGGCGATCGCGCGCGCGGGCATGGAGCGACGCGCGATGTGTCACGCTCGCTCCGCCGACGCGGCACTGGCTTTCAGCTCTCACCGTCGGTAGATTTGGCAACGCAGCGACGTGGCAGCGGCATAGATTCCGCTCCGCAACCGCAACCGCACGCCAGCCTAGCGCCATGATGCCAAGCCAAGCTAGCCGTGCAACGGTTTCTCCGCAGTGACGCGCAAGCCGCCCAGCGACGACGTAGCCTACTAAGCCCGAACCGCCTGCGGTAGAGACACGTTTTTCCGTCCAGAGTTCTGTTGTTATTTCTTTTTTTTCGGGCCGGTCGCATCATTTTTGTGGTTAACGTTACGATTAATCGATTTCGTAACTTCATCGACCTCGGTACGCATACATATGTATATTGACCGGCTTGTGCCGTCTCAACCGTGCTTGGATTAATCCGAATCGATAATCTGGTATCTCGTACGGTTTGTCCAAAGAAACAATCGGCATGTGACGATTTCGAGTATCATCATCCCCTATCTGTAACGGTATTGTTGACGAAGTCTGATTCGTCTCTTTCTGGTCTCCTTCTCCTGCCGTCTGTGGTTACCATAAATATCGTATAAAGTTGAAAGATAACAGAAAAGAGGGAACCGAGGAAGAATCGAACGAGAAACGTGAAGAAAAATTTAAAGGGTTGTTCCCGGCTTGTTGCTGCATCAGTCACGATGTTCGATACAGAGAAATTTATCGACGAGATAAAGAATCGACCGGCGATTTACGATGCGAAACGCAGCGAGTACAACGACCGTAACGCCAAGATGACCGCGTGGGACGAGGTCTGCCAGGTGATGGTACCGAATTGGGCGCGCTTGACGGACGAGGAGAGAAACGTAGAAGGTATACCTCACCAGCCTCTTGCGATCGATCGATCCGGATTCCTCCACTTGCACTTGCTCGACCCTGGCACTGGTTGCCCACTGTGACCGTATCTGCAGTCGTTTAAAATTAGTTCTAATTTCTCTTCGTCGAACGATCATGAACGCGACGATCGTTCGCTTACATAATTTTCGAGATAAAAAAGAAGTAGGAGAAATACGGAATTATAACTTTAATTTCTTTAACTGGACTCACGGGTTTTAATTCCCTCCCCGGGGCACGATGAAATTTACTTTCTGTCCGATCAATTCGCTAGACTGATTAACAGTCATTCCGCTCTACTGAACACCGGGTGTAACTAAATGTACTCGGGAAAAAATGTATACCGTCCCTCGTTTTTCAGAGAAAAATTTACGTGGGAAATGGAGGAATATCCGGGACTACTTCATAAAAGAGCTGAAGCTTCAAAAGTCGCAAAAATCAGGACTGTCCGGTCGCAAACGAAAGAAATACATGTATTTCGATCAGCTGCAGTTCCTAATGCCAACGGTGGAGAACAAACGGTTGGTATAACCTCCGGCGTTGCTTAGGCGTTGATCTTTCATTTTAACCCTCACTACTACTGGAGCATGGACTACTGTGTCCGACTTATTCCTGACGCCGCACTGACATATTCCACTAACGCAGTGACGATGCCCAAGCTGGAGACCCTCACCGATATCCTATGTCGATGGCAGCAAAGTATATAGGACAACAGCAATTTGATCGATTTTCACTTTTTTACATGAATAGACTCTAAATAATATTCAGCCTATTTAAGTAAAAAAAAATGAAAATCAATAAAATTGCTGTTGTCTGTTTATACTTTGTTGCCGTTGATGTAGTTCATAGTCAGTTTCGGATTGCATTCGGATATTTGTTATACGTATACGAAAGGGGACTTATTTGATATATCAACATAGAATGATTTCAATGATTTTTACGTTTTCGGGGGCATGATTCTGAACAATTTTTTTCTTACATATAACCGATGGATGACCTTAGTTTCCGAGATATTCGCCAAAAACTGTTGATACCGGTACAGTGAATTCTGTTTACAATTACTAACTAACTCAGATCAGTATAATGGTTTGTACAGTACTTTTTTTCTTCGTTAAGTAGCTCTAACCAACTCAGATCAGTATAATGCTCTAAAAATACAAAAAAAAAACACGGGTAATAATATTTATTTGGATAGGAAAAAACTTCTTAAACGAACCGCATAAGTTTTGTCGGCTACAAAAAAGGATAGTGAATCGAAAAGAAATAGAGTGTCAGCCGAAGACGTAAGTGAATACTTTTACAGCGTCTCAGCCCAGCCGTTTCCATATGACAATAAACGTCGGTCACTTTCCCACTACGATCAATCGTACGACAAATCGTATCGTTTTTGAGTCGTTTTGCACGAACAGCTCCGTTATTGTGTGCGTGTTGCTCTTGGGACTAGCCAGAAATGACTCCAGTACCGTATTGGGAGGGTTAAATGACAAAGAACACAAGGACAGTTTTTATATCGGTTCATGCTGTACGTTACAGACACGTCGGGGTGCCGTTAGCTACTTGCAAATCGGAGGAAAGTGAGGGTGAAATTGATAATCCGGTGATGGAGGAATACGATGTGCCGGTGGCTCATGGCGCTCCTTCCATAACAACAGCCGGAGAGTATCTTCAACCGGGCGCGTCCTATAAAATGTGTCACCGTTATCCGAAGCAGATTTGCGAGACGTCGTTCACGTCCTTTGATAATGAAATTCACGATATGCTGTCTTCGCACAGCAGTCAACGGGTCCCTTACGACGAGGACGACTACGACAGAATGTTTTTACTCTCCTTATTGCCTGTCATCCGACAAGTACCGGAAGAGAAGAAGCTGGACGTCAGGATACAGATACAACAAGTTCTCGCGCTGGCCATACGTCCTGCTGATAATTTCATCGTGTCAGTGCACGATCGTCATAATTCATAAAAATCAAGCACTAGAGAGACTCGAGTATATGTCGTAAGTACACACATCCGGTGCGATATTTTGGGTTCTTATCGCGGGGAAACATTACGTGGGGCCACGATATTATCATCGATTCGGATATCGTGAATAACACAGAATGTTTCCTTTTTGATCGTTTGATGTAAAGGTGCACCGTCTTGTAGACGCACGAGGCAATTAACCATCGGATGCGCTTCGGTTACGTTGATTTTGATAATTGCCTGATAATGTATAATATGTAGAAACGTAGGTTGCGAACCCGGTACGGTGTCATAAGTATGGCGTTAGTGTTCACGAACGTTTCAGGACCGTAGTTGACAGCAAGAGAGCACGATTTTACGGATTACACTTCAAGTACCTATACCTGTGATATTATGCGACGAAACTCCTTTCGACTAACGCAGAAATAGAAATAGACATCTATAGAACCATGGCGGTGTTACTGCAACGGAAACGGCAATGCGATGTCGGTCTTTGCGCGCGAGATCAGTACATGTATTTTCGTAATTTGAAATAAATATCAGTAATATTTTACCGATACCCTTTGGACGTGGACAAATACAAAAATTGGTAACGAAAAATATGTATAAACAAGAATGTCAATGTGTGACATTAATTTTAGTCGGTATACGATTCGTTTGTGTCTAGGCACCGACTAGGTATAGGATAGACCTATCATTTTATGGCACTTCTTGTCTCATGTTCTGAAATACCGATAGTGTAAAAAGTCAGGGATTTTCTGCTGCCCTCTACGTTATGAGAACGGTGAATTTGTGAACTACGTTAAATCCATTCGAGCTCAACTAGTCTAACTTTTACAGTGTTGTCGAGTCTAAAGTACGCAATATTGTCAGATCATGAGTGTTCGGTATGTCAGAAAATCATCGAAGGGTTTTAGTCCCGACGGACCTATTGGTTTTTTTTCGCGTACAAAAAAGTTATTGCGTTTAATATTGTTTTTATGAATATGTATATGTATTATTATGTACATTTGAGTAAATTATTTTATTATTCCATTGTTATTACAACAGTTTAACAGTGACAACGAACGCATGTATATTTTCAAATATCGGACTAACGGTATATTTTTATTCTATATTATTACATATAAGTGAGTAATACGTATGAAAAACGTAATCGAAACACAGATTTTTATTACATCACAAACATCGCATAAAAGATATTTCGTTATATTGACATT